ACAAAGGCAGGAAGCACAGTCCTGGTAATGATATGCTCATCCAATCTGCCTTTTGTGTTAATTTTCTATATTTCTATGATTACCATACTCTAATTATTAGTACAAATATTGCAGAAACCCTTCAGCTGATCAGAGAGAGAACAAGGCTTGCAATGCAGGATCCTAAGGTGATGTCATGTAAGAATAATTTATATGTTCTCTTAGAATGATCTTTAATACCTTTGGAATAAAATTTATATTAGAGCAGCTAGAGCTACATTCCAAACTTTGGAATTCACTCTCTGATAAAACTTATTTGGCGTATAAACTTAGATGATCTACTTAGTATTGAGATATGTACAGAGGTCCCTTGTCTTTATACAATTCAGCCAGTGCAATATAGCTACAAAGTTGATTAAGACAATATATGCAAAAATCTTTCCCATTCTAGTTGGTTCCAAGGAAAATTAGCCATTTGCATATGTAGGTTTTATTGAATTTTCACACAACCTATGGCTAAGGCGCATCTCTTGAGCTTCTTCCTAATTCTTCTCGATTTACTGCTGATCTTACTATTTTATGGAAATATCTTGCAGCTCTTCTGCTTTCAAAATGGCCAGGTTACTTAGTTGTCCCATGCAGATACTAATTGTCTTGCTGGTTGAACAATCACTTGCTAATGCTGGTCCTGGTACCTAATTTGATGCACATACTAGTAAATTTGTAGCCAATCCAAGGGACATAATCTCATTTGAAAAACTTCAAAGTTGTTTACTCTACTGACAATATTTGGCTATGCAGGTCAAAATGAAGTTGGTGAACCTTGGACATGCTCAAAGGTGGGTATTGCATTGTTCTGTTTATATAGACTAAGTACTGTTTACCACTACCATCTTTGTCATCCAATTTCCTAGCATTTAAGAGTCCCAACTTTATTCATAAGTTGGCTTCTTTTTCAGTCTTCTACATTTTCAACTAGAAGACTGAGATTGTAAGTTTCCGTTACTTTTCCTTGTATCCATTACAAACATCTTTTCTTTTATTGATCATATAGTAAAGAGACAAGAGTTAAAATTGGGCTTGGAGTGCGAATCGGGTGGCAAAGGCGGCGTGAGAAGCTATCATTGCAGGAAAATTGCTGCTTTGAATGGCAGAACTTAATTGCTGCAGCCTCTAGACAAGGCTATGACGGCGAGGAGGAACTGCAATGGGATTCCTACAAGATCTTCGATGAACAGCTTAAAGAGGAGTATGTAGAGAGTGTTGAACAAAGGAAGATAATGCGTAGGCCAAAAGGAAGCAAGAGAGCACCCAAGTCTCTTGAGCAAAGGAGGAAGATTTCACAAGCAATCTCTGCAAAATGGAATGATCCTGTAAGTGCAAATATGGTAATCTTGGAGGGGTCTTATTGGTATCAATTACATCGTCCTCTTTGGTTCCAATAAAGTTTTATTGCCATCTAACTTCTTTCAAGAACATTCCATTATTCCATTACAAGCTTCCTTTCCAACTGTATTTCGGACTCTTGTCAATTCCAAAAACGATTTGGTTCATATCTTCTTTGCTACTACACCGCCATCCTACAAGCACCTCTTTCTCGCTGTCACCCCTTGGTTCCCTTGTGAATAATTGGGAGTCAAAGATTAATCGTGGTGACTCTAGTGTAGGTTACTCAACTGAATTTTCCATTCCCATCAAGAGAGTCAATTTTAATGCTATTCATGGTATACATAAGTGCGTAGATGATCTTTTTTAATACATGTTTAGTACTATAATAGCAGGGGCCTGAACCTTGATTTCTTTAAATTGTATTTCTATATCAGGATTATCGGGATCGTGTTTGCTCTGCCTTGGCTAAATATTACGACTCATCATATGGAGCAGAAAGAAAGCCAAGGAAGAAGCCAAGTAGTACTACACAGTCCACAAGAAGGAGCCCTGCAAAGAAAAAAGTTAGTGAGGAAGGTGACATTAAAATCCAAAATCAACGACTGAGGTTGAGGAGAAGTAAAGCACCCATGTTTAAGGATCCTCTGACAAGTTATAAGATGGAGATGATAAAAAATATCAGAGCACAAAGAGCAGCTGCTGAAAACAAAAAAACTGAAGCCATAGAAAGAGCTAGGTAAGCTTATCTGGTGTACTGATTGGTTTGAAAATTCTGTGAGCTAATAAAATGGAAATCACTAGCCTTCAAAATCAGGTCATTGAGAACAAGCCATTTCTTGCTGTCTAGATGACCCAGTGCCTTTGCCAGTAATATTTAAGCCTAGACTCCTCACTTTTGCAGAATGTCGTGAACTTGTAAAAAGCATCTTATCTCTCCTTGTTTTGATTGCCGTTTAATCTCTGTTGTGACATTCTGCAGGTTATTGATTGCTGAAGCTGAGAAGGCAGCCATGGCCCTTGAGGTTGCTGCAACAAAGAGCCCTGTTGCTCGAGCTTCTCTCATTGAAACCCGACAGCTTATAGCTGAGGCAATTCAATTTATTGAATCTATAGAGACAGCACCGATTTCTTCCCATGAGAATGAAGATTCTTTAGTTGCATCAAATCAAGTGATTAGTCAGGATGAGAAGGAAACATATACTGGGATTGGGGGTCTGACTGAAGCTGAGAATCGAAGGGTAAATGGCACCCAAACATTTTCTTCCCAAGAGAATGAAGACCCGTTATTTGCATCACATGAAGACCCTTTACTTGCATCAAATGAAGACCCTTTATTTGCATCAAACAAAGCGATTAACTGTGAGAAGGAACCACGTACTGTGATTGCCAGTCCGGCTGAATTGGGGGATGTAAAGGTAAATGGCACCAAAATCTTATCATCAAGTAAGGACGAGGACTCTGGCTTTGGCAAGTTCACCTTGGAGGACATGCTAAATGGTGAAGAGGACCTTCCCCCATTGCAGGATATGCTAAATAGTGAAGGGGACCTTCCCCCAGTGAGCCCCAGTGGCTATGGTTTGCCTCCATTTAGTTTTTCGGATCTAATAAAGCAATCGGATCATGACCAGTTAGCACCAAATGGGAACAGTGAAAACAACATGGAGCTTCAACTCAATGGTACAAAAGTTCAATCCCAAGAAGAGGAAACGCCTTCTAAATCAGCTACTGCAGCTAAAAAGTGGGTTCGGGGAAGGCTCGTTGAAGTAGGAGAAGAAGCTTAGTGCAGGTATAGGCAACACCCACAAACTGTGGTGCAACTTTTCTTCTTCAAGAATCTCAACTTTTGAGCTCAATGAGGCATGTCTTGATCACATCTGCTTCTACCAAGCAACAATTGCTCTCTTCATTTGTCAAGGTGGCTTGTCAAGGTGGCTATTGTTGTTCTCACGTAGAGTTCATACTTATTTGTCGACCATGATTGTTATATATGATGCTGATAGTAGAGTTAAGAGTTTCTTTGGCCTCCCATCTACATTCTCTCGGTACCAACAAAGAATTGCATCTGTAATCTTATTTGATATTGAATGTAGATTAAATTTATACATTTTTACTAAACTGTCTGTAATATGGTGCATTTTAATACGGTCACGCAATATAACTTAATCTATGATACGATATGATACGATATTGTAACACATGAACGGCCGTACAGTAATACCATACGATAATTTCTCCTCCTCCTTTTACCAAACTGTGAATGGCTCATGTTGTGAAGCAAAACATGCACGTGCACTAATCTTGACATTATTTGTAACAGTGCTGAAATCATTTTGACAACAAGTTCTTTAGCAACATTAAATTACAGCTTTAGATCCATACGACATACAACATACGACATGACTCAATGAACGTGATTCTGATGGTAAACTAAGTAGCACTTTCAGGAGGACAGGTGTCAATATCAGAGCGCTTGAGTTGAGAGTCCACAACCTTCTCCACCTCTTGCCTCTTCTTCTCTTTTCTCCACTTCCTCCTCCTACAGAAACGCAAAGAAACCCCATGAAAGATCAAAGATTGGAGGCTGCCAAAACATTCAGAGCTTCTTTCCTGCGATAGAAAATGCATGAAATGAAACAAAAAGGAAACAAAATATATAGCGTTACGTCGACGACGCGAGGGATAGGCAGCCTTTGTCCGTGAACAGCAGCCCGGTTGGGAGATTTGACTGTTGTCATAAAACGCCACAGCAGCTCTGGCTTCTTTATTGCCAAGTTTCTAACTACTACAAGTAGTCTTCCCTGCATTTTCTATCAGTCCCGCTGCCTTTTCCGTTGCCAATCTTCCTTGTCTGTTTTTGACTGACAATATAATTCTAAGAAATGCCAAATATGATGGTTCAAGAGAGACACGAAGTCTTCTAACTCATCTCGTCCGTATGGACTGCCACGTGTCTTCTCAATGACATGTGTCATGTCACTCTGTTTTCTAAAAGTAAAGAAAATGCTAGAGGTAACATATTTCCTTTCCTGATCCCACTAGAAATGATCTGAATGATGTTTATCCCGCTTCTTGATCCTACTAGAATTATGTGATTATAATGTGTTTGTCACGCTTCCTAATCCCTCCACTAGATATTATAGTATGATTTTTCTATATAACGCAATATAGAACTATAAAAAAGGGAAAATGGAACACAAGACTTCTAATCAGAATTAAAATGTCAATAGATCTAGTTTAGTGAAAAAGAATCTTGACTTACATATTAGTATTATCAAATTTGAATCATCACGACACTATAATATTGTGTGTATTTGAACATTACCGTAAATATATCTTCAAACATAACTTTGTGTTTGCGTGAGTCGAATTTGAGAAATTTTCCAATAAGAAAATATAACTCGTACTATGCCAATCATATGATTAAACTTTCAAAAAAAACTTCGATGAGTGGCTCCAACAAACCTTTATTTTGTCTGTCTCCCTAAAATCGTTGGGCTTGTTGAATGGGCTGCGAGACCAAAACCAGACCAAACCAACAACCATGCATGGTGGGCTGGTAGGTTGTCATTTTCAACCACCGACACCTCCATTTACAGCAGCTCTGTCCACATTCCTTCCTGATTGGTCTTTCCTGCATTTCATTCATTCCACCAAAATCCTTCTCTCATCTCCTCTCTTTCTCTCCCTCCCTCCCCACTCCCTCCCTCCCTCAGAGTCTCAGACAGACAACAGCAGAAGCTAAAACAAGAAAGCACTTTTTCCAACTACTACTTCTTCAGCCTGACACCAACATTTCCAAATTGGGCTCAACTGAAAAGCCAGAATCCAAATAACCCAGAAAAATGGAGAGGCCAACTTCGTCGTCCTCCTCGGACGACGACGACGATCGCCAAAACCTAATCGAACAAAACGACAGGAAGCTCCCGACCCCTCGATCCACCACCACCGCCTTCCACATCGCCGACGACGATATCGACGACCTCAACCACCGGCACAATCAGCAATTACGACGTCGTTTCACCTCCCTCAAGCTAAACGACCTCTTCAACAAGCGATCGTTTGTCCTCTTCGCCATATTCGTCCCTCTATTCGTCCTCATCCTCTTCTTCACCACCGACATCAAAGCCCTCCTCTTCTCCACTAGCGTCTCGGCCTCTCCCTTCGGTTCCGTCTCCGATAAGCTCCGCGAATCCGAGCTTCGCGCTCTCTACTTGCTCAAACAGCAGCAGCTTGGTCTCTTCAATCTCTGGAACCAAACACTCCCCAATCCCAACTCCACTTCCAATCAATCCAATTCCCCCCAAATCCCACTCCTCGAGGATTTCAAATCCGCGGTCCTTCGTCAGATTTCAATCAACAAAGACATCCAGCAAGTCCTCTTATCGTCCCACCGCTCCGGAAACTACACGGAATCGGATTTTCGGGATTTCGGGGATTTCGAAAACCCGAGTCTCGGCTATCGGTGTGGGATTTTGGACCAGAAATTCTCACAAAGAAGAACAATTGAGTGGAAGCCCAATGCAAGTAAGTACCTTTTCGCCATTTGTGTTTCGGGCCAAATGTCGAACCATTTGATCTGCTTGGCTGGTGATTCCCAGTGCCAAAGTGGATTACCAGTACAGTAGGGTATTGGACATTGAGCACATTAACAAGTGCTTGGGAAGAAAGGTTGTGGTTACGTTCGAGGAATTGGCCGAGGCGAAGAAGAACCACGTTCACATTGATAAGTTTATATGCTATTTTTCGCATCCTACACCTTGTTATGTGGATGAGGAGCATCTTAAGAAGTTGAAGGGGTCCGGGGTTTCGTTGAGTAAGCTTGTGCCTGCTTGGGTTGAAGATGTGAAGAAGCCGAGCAAAAGGACTGTGCAAGATGTTCAGTCGAAATTTTCGACTTCTGATGATGTTACTGCTATTGGGGATGTCTTCTTTGCTGATTTAGAGCAAGACTGGGTGATGCAGCCTCGTGGTCCTCTTGCGCACAAATGCAAGACTCTGATTGAACCAAGCCGGCTTATAATGCTTACTGCCCAGCGTTTCATTCAGACATTCCTTGGCAAGAACTTCATAGCTCTTCATTTTCGGCGACATGGGTTTTTGAAGTTCTGGTACACTTTTTCTTGCCTTGCATTGCCCTTTTTATTACTTTGCCCATTTGGGTTTTCTTATTTAATTTCGAAGTATGTTTAGCTATTGCACTTGATTGTTCTTTACGACAGAATATAGATAGAGTTAGAGTACATTTGTAAAGGCACAGAGCAACAAGCTCCCAACTCTAAATATTGTGATTTCAAGGGAACAAAAAATGCAGAAACATTGGGTAGCAGCACTGCTTACCTGACTTCATGTTGGAACAATTGATCTATTATGGCTTTGGTTGTCACTGGATAATTTAGAGTGTGATGTCAAAGCATCAGTATATACTCCAATTATGCTGTGCTTTTTACAAATTAGATTGTGGGTCTTCTGGCACTGTGTATGCTATTAGCATTTTCAATTTGCATCTATCTTACAGCACTTCTAAAATGTTGGCTTATCTTACAGCAATAATAAACAGCGAAGTTGCTTTTACCCCATTCCCCAAGCTGCGGATTGCATAACTCGGGTGGCTGAAAGGGCCAATGCACCAGTCGTATATCTTTCGACCGATGCGGCTGATAGTGAAACTGGTTTGCTGCAATCACTAGTTGTGGTGAATGGAAAAGCTGTGCCACTTGTTAAACGACCTGCACGAAATTCAGCCGAAAAATGGGATGCTTTGTTATACAGACATGGAATGGAGGGGGACGGTCAGGTAGATTGTGCTACCATTTTAACATTCTATGACCGCATGAGGGTGTGTTGGTTAGTAGACAGAACATCAAAGTTGTTGCATGATATCCGTATAATTTATATGCCTTTGTTATGCTTGTAGGTAGAAGCTATGCTGGATAAGACGATATGTGCCATGTCAAGTGTCTTCATTGGAGCATCTGGATCCACTTTCACAGAGGATATCTTGAGGCTCCGAAAGGACTGGGGATCAGCTTCGTTGTGTGATGAGTACCTCTGCCAAGGTGAAGACCCAAACTTCGTAGCGGAGAATGAATGAAGAAATAGTATGTTCAATCTTCGGTCATTGCTATTCTTTGTGGTTGAACCTGCTTCTGTTGTATGCCCTTCTAATTAGTGGTAGGTTTACCCCGAAATTTATTGACATGTATAGTGTATGATAGCGTCTGCATTTCGAAAATGAGATTTGTTTTGCGTATCTCTTTTTCCTTTTCTTTTTTTGCTTAATGATAAAATGACTAGATGTGATGCTTATGGTGTCATTCCTAGAGTATATATATCAGTTCTCTTTGGCATTTTTCCCATAGGATGGATCATGTAAGTATGGTGTGTTGACTTGGTCTTATTAAGCACACAAGACTTTTGGTGCTGAAAAGAGAAGCTTACATGATCAATTGCTAAAGGTTTCTATATTTTTCAGAATTTTATTTGATTGGATCATGCCTACGATAAACCGCACCATTTATTCGATGTTTACGTAAGATGCTTGCGTTTCAATCACTAATATTTAAGAAAAGGCATGCACCATCTGCTGCCGTTTTGGCAACTCAAAGATTTCCTTTTGGTTCGTCCTCCTGATGCTGAAAATTACTTTCGAGAGGTCTGGATTAACGTACAAGTTTAAGTCGTCATCATTTACTAAGCTGTGATTAGTGCCCCAAAGAAGAATGAAAGTATCAACTTGAGATAAAACAAAATTAATACACCGGAATTAGAATTAGAATCAGAATCAGAATCAGTTGTCAAATTGGAAAGGAAAACATCACTCGCCAAGCCTAGTAAAAGCAAAGCGGAGAAATAGAAAAGGTGCGACATAATAGTTCGATAGTGGAGAAATAGAAAAGGTGCAACATAATAGTTCGATAGTGTTACCAATTCATTCATTTAAAAAAATAAAGTTTTACACAATTACGTAGTGTTACTAATCGATTCGTATTAAAAAGACAATTATATAGCGTTTTCGATGGATTGATGTTAAAAATAAAAAGCTTGCATATTAAAACATGTGGATTAATACCCTTCCGACTAAACCATTTTCTCATCTAGTGGGTAGGATCAAGTTTCAACTAACTGGAGGGCAATGGGCCAAATAACTAAATCCCATTCCACTTGCGAGGATTGTGCCACGTGGAGACTCTACAAGAGGAGAGCTGAGTCACCCTCCATTCGATTCGCCTTCACAATCACAAAAAACACAACACAACACACCATGACATGACGCCGCCTCTCCTCTTCCTCTTCCTCTTCCCCTTCCTCTTCCGTCTACGATCCCTTCTGTAACTGGTACCTTCCTTCTTCTTGATGCTCGTCGCTTCTTAGCTGGTTGGTTTGGTTGTATTTTGGCTTTTCGTTTCATGCTTTGCTTTCCTCCTCCAGTTCTATCGAAACTTCAATCCCAAAACTCCCACATTCTCATTGCATCATCATATTCCTTTGATTTGTTGGATTTGATTTTTAATATTTTGTTTCTGTTCCTCCACTCCTTTGACGACGTCTAGGATTTTTTTTAAGGAAAAAAGAAAGCGTTTTTTTTTTCAAAGGTTTGAGAGTGGAGATTCAATGATTCTTCATCATCATTTTCTTCTTCGTCACAGACTTAGAATATACCAATTTCGTTGATTTTTTTTTTTTAAAATTAAAAACGAAAACCCAAAACAAAGATTCAATTTCTTTCTTTTTATTATTCTATTCATTTTTTGTTTGTTTTGTGTATCACGAAGAAAAAACCTATATAAGAAGTGGGTTGATAAGGGGCTAAGGTTCATAGTTGTTGTGGTGACAACTGGGAAGGATGAGAGCGAGAGTGATAGTGTTTCCTGTTAGAGGGAGGAACTGGTGCTTCAGCAGATCCATTGAGCCTCTGGTTTCAGACTCTGCCTCTCATATTCCTTCAACTTTCAAAGACCTCTGGAAAAAGCTCTCTTTCTCTTCCAATACCAATGCCAATGCCAACCCTTTTGCTGCCAACGCTGAGCTCCTCGTTGATTTTGTCTCTACCAAGGTCCATAGAAAAACCCGTTATTTCTAGCATTCACTGCTGCTGTATTTTCACTGGGGTTTTCTTATATCTATTTGGATATCATGGTTTTGTATTTTGTTTTTGAGTAGATGAACAATGCCTGGATGGGGCTGGAGAAGGCGCCTCAGGGAACTTTTAAAAACAAGCTTCATGGGTGAGTAGAACTGCAAGCTCACAGAACCTTGAGTGAATTTTGGAGTTTTCATATGCCTCACTAAAGTTTGGTGATATGAGTTTTAACTTGAGCAGTTATAATGTAGGTTGGGATTGAAGCTGTTAGCTCGCGTTAAGCCTTCTGAGATTTTCCTGAAATCAATCTCTAATGAGATAACGGGTGTTGAAGTTACATACCCTTCAAGGTTTCTTTCTGTTGCTTTCACTTACAAATTTGCTTCCTTCTTTTCTTTTTAAAAGCGCTATCTTTTCAACTTCTTCCACCATTTTTCTGCTGGGTTTGTATGAAGAACTACTTTGAAAAAACAACAGATAGTCACATATATAGAATAGCTCGCTTTTCATTCGTTTGCCATTTGGATGATAACTCCTTTTATTGTACAATGCAAAATGCTACAGCCCATGGTAGTGTGAGATTCGGTCTGCAACGAATTTGATAGAACTTCACAGAAATTATACGGTGCTTTATCTATTAGATGGGCTAATAGGAATATATAAAATAAAAAAATTAGCATATCAACTTATGAGCTATGCCCAATCACAACACTAAACAATGAAGACTTGGTAATTTTGAGTCAAAACAATTATTACTTCTTGTATTTCTCTCTGAAAAAGAATTTATTAGTGCAAAAAGAATGCTCAATATTCTAATTTTTATTTGCAATTTTTTTTCAGTGATTTGTATATTTCGTTTTTTATGTTTTGGTGTCCTAATCATATATTAGGGTTTTGCAGCTTAAATGCACGGCTTGTCCGCAGGAGGTTACGACATATAGCTATGAGGTATTCTTTTGCTTTCACATATGATAACTAGGGGTTTAGAGCCACATTTATTGATTGTATCACTTATTTTCTCTTTTTTCCTTTGTATTGAGCAAAAACCAAAATACCAAATCTATATAAACCTTACTGACGAATGGAGCCGCTCCTCGACCCAATTGAAATCAACGAGGCTCTTTCAGTCAATATTTATCGTTTATGACTCTTTAGATTGTATATCAATGCTGGACTACTTTCAAAATTTCTTATGACTTTACCTAGATTTAGAAGATTATGTGTAATTACAGTATTAATAAATTTGGGCGTTATTTTATCATGGGTCAAGGTACTTTTCTGACAGCTTCATGCATCAACAGTGGAGAGTAGGAGTGAAATTGATTGTAGGGAGTCTTAAGCTTTATGTATTGAGAATGATATCTAGATCCAAGAACCATGGAATTTCTGTCGATTGATGACCATTGTAACTTAATTGCCAAAAGCTCCTGTGGTACATTTGGTGTTTGTCGCTTGAAGGGCTATTGAAGATGGCATTAATTTCCATTGGATATATTATATTGACTTATGATGAGACCAAAATTTATTGATATGAAGTTTTATCTGATTATCAGGGGATCTATCATACACAAAAAGTACTTATATGGTTCGTTTACGTTGCTTCCTCTGACATCTGCATTTACTGTACGTATGTGTTAACTTGAGTTGTCAACTCTTATTTCACTGTGAATTTGTTCAGTCTGTTGATCCTTAAATGCTTTTGCACTTCGCAGTTTACATATCCTTTTGCCAGATCAACTAAATTCCCATTCTTACATGAGTTGTTTTTAATTCCATGCAGGTTTTGCCTTTGCCTAATATTCCCTTCTTTTGGTGTTTATTCCGTACTTACTCTCATTGGCGAGCTCTACAGGTGCATTGCATACACTCTTTTTAGAGATAAAAACTATTAGTAGCCTGATTTCTTTTGTAAAATAATTTAGAAAATTAGTTTAAAACTCTGCAGAATATTTTTTTTTTCCTGTTTCAATCCTGGTAGATCAATTATGTATTGCCTATTACAATATGTAGATATATCAATATTCTTTCTTGTTTTTTGTTCTTTTTTATGTTTAAGGGAAGTGTGAAGCTCCTTCAGCTAGTCTCAGATAGCCACGACACTCCCAATTCTACTATCGATGGAAATCAAACTGAGCACATTAAATCACACGGACGCAAAAAGATACATGATTCTCCATGGGTAAGTTATTTTATGATGTCCTGAAATTGGAGTTCACTGGGGTTTGATTTTCAATGGCCTGTGACAAGAGTCCTAGAAGAACCTTGTACTGGTAGATATTATTGCAGTTGTCTGGGTTCTATTGCATCCCTTGAAGTAGTTAGTGTTAGATAAACCTAATTTCTGAGAACCTTCGTCACTTATGCACAATTGGGAGATCTATGGGGTTTCTGCGTCATCAATAAGCTAGGCATGACAAGAATACAACAAAATCTAGCACCGCAACGACAACAATGGGCTTCTTTCTTGGCCTCCTGCTCAGTTACCATCGCCAACATGCTCATGCATTGGGCTGACACTGTGCACACACAAGCGAGCTATTTGTGTTGTTGATAACAACTTAAGATATCTTCCTGTTTTCCATTAAGTTTTTAGCCTAGTAAGTTTTACTGTTGTTTTAATCTTCACTTGCGTCATCATCCTGTCCAATAGTTCATAATTTAATCACCATTTGCTTACTGTCTCAACCATTAATTGTTCAAAACTGTTGTTTCCCCTGCTTTCTTGAGATCTGACTAACTCTATATGGTTGCCCCGCCCTCCTTCCCCCATGACACAGATGCAAGCCTGTGCACGAGTACACAAAAACACCTTTTTTCTGCAAATGCTTATAATATTATCACATTGACTCCTGTCAAACATAGCATCATTCAATTTTCTCTCTTTTTATTAATTTATTTTTACGTTCCTCTATGTATTTAGGTTTTGCAGCCGTCTAAAAAACTTGAGGAACTTCTTCATCATGGAGATGAGCAAGACGGTCTGAAAAAACCTGCTATATTAGATATCTGCAAAACCTTTGAATTGAACGCTAATGATGTTCTGAAATACAGAGATTCAATGTAGTTACATATTTGTTTTCCATATGCAATGTAGCATCACATTCGCTAGCGAAAAGCAATTTCATCTTCAGTTTTTTTTCTTTATTTGTTGGAATAATTGGGCAATGCCAGTGGAAAATTTTGAGTTATGAGGACTGAGAATTTCTACTGTGAAGTTTACCTCTTCTAATGGTGCTTGGAAAAATGCACCAGATTATAAAGTTTACCTCTTCTACTGTGAATTTCTGTCTTGGCTTCCGACTCTGATTCTGCTTGGTTTACTAAAAGTCTGCGAAAATTTACATCTTTACTGATAGTATTATCTGCATATAGGAAGCAATTTGCAATTGGTTATTTTGTTTTGCAAATCACTACACAGCAAGCAACATTAACTGCAAATTCACTGATGGTGATTTAAATTCCGTTATTTAAAAATTCTAAACAATTTTCAAATCCTTTATCCAAAGGTAAACTATTTTCAGCTTCTGGATCAGAACCCAATTCCAAGCCGAAAATATTATTTAGTACCTTCAAGTCCCAACCTTACCCTATCTGGAAAAATGATACTTCCAAATGCGCACCCTGTAATTTGATGAATGCACCTAACATTCATTTTCTTTTTTTCAAAATACCCCCTAATTTATCCTTAAGCTTACAGATCAAATAACTTTTAAAAAAATCACTAAAATCAGGTGGATATTTCTATATGCAAAGCAAACGACGTTTATGGTTAAATTAAGTAACTCAAAATCACCTTTATTTGGGAATTTTTTTTTTCAAAATATAACTACATTTTAAAGAAACCTATGTAAAATATTAAAATATAAATAATTAAAAATATAAATGAAACGAGCCTAATCCAACATAATACTTGCACGCGCACAACACGTGATCTAATTTTCCCTATATATTATAGAAGCAAAACGCAAAGCAGCGGCGTTGATTGGGACTTGCGAGAAGGTTAGGGGCATAGCTTGAACAAAAAGAAAGTCGATTGAGAGCAAAAAATCTAGTGCAAACTCCAATCTCTACTCTCTAGTCTCCAATGGCGCCAGAACCTGAAGACATCAAGGACGAGAAGAACCCTAGACCGCTTGACGAGGACGACATCGCCCTCCTCAAGACCTATGTGAGTTTTCAGCTCAATTTTTCACAAACCCTATTTTTCTCCCTATCAGTTTTCGATCTGTTCGTCTGTCTTTCATTTTCGCTTAATCTCAAATCCCCAATTTCATATATCGCGTCATGTTTCTCAGATTATTTTTATGATTAGTACAAAATGATAATAGGGATTTAATGGAATATGCAGGGGTTAGGGCCTTATTCAACACATATTAAGAAAGCCGAGAAGGAAGTCAAGGATTTGGCTAAGAAGGTCAATGATTTGTGTGGTATGTACATGCCCCTTTGCTCAATCTTGAGCCCAATTAAAAAAATTTCAGTATATGTGCTTAGCTTTGTACATGGGCCAAGTTAAAGTTGATTGCTTTACAGGTATTAAGGAGTCTGATACTGGCTTAGCTGCACCCAGCCAGTGGGATCTTGTTTCTGACAAGCAAATGATGCAGGAGGAGCAGCCTCTTCAGGTTTGGTTTGGTTTGATTGCACACTCAGCCATACAGTCACTGTTTTGTGTTATAATTTGATAATGAAGCATTGATTGATTTTGTGGGCCAGGTTGCAAGATGTACGAAGATAATCAATCCCAATTCTGAGGATGCTAAATACGTCATAAATGTTAAGCAAATTGCAAAGGTCTAGCCTCTCTCTTTTTTGTTTTCCCAAAACAGCTCCCTTTTTCTTCTTTAATTTCTCCATATGTTTCAGTCTTTTACTTTTTTGGTTCTCCTGCTCCATTCCTCATATCCTGTATCATTTCTGGAAAATTTGCAGTTTGTTGTTGGGCTGGGTGACAAGGTTTCTCCAACTGATATAGAAGAAGGCATGCGTGTGGGGTAGGCCCACCTATTCGTCAACTATGATAATTTTACAGATTTGTTAATCTTATTCAATTATTGGCATGAACATAGCTAGTTTAGGATGCATCACGTAAGGTTATGCTTGATTGTATTTGTTAAGCGACACACCAAAGAATTGCTTAAAGAACTTGTGCAGTAGCGAAGTTTTTTTAATTAAAAAAATAGGAAAATTATTTATTACCGCACCTTTTCTGCATGCTCACATCTCAGCTCCTGCCTTATCACCATATTTTATGATGTTGTTCTTTAACATTCTATATTTGTTGTTGATGACTATGTTAGTTTTCTTAGAATTGGAGTTAGTGATGTATGCTCACATCTTTATCAAGTTTGTAGTGAATATGTTGGAGGCTTGTGTTTGTTTGCTACTATATTGTTGTTTGGTTAACTAGTTTGTCACTGCAGGGTTGACAGGAACAAGTATCAAATTCAGATTCCTTTGCCTCCAAAGATCGATCCAAGTGTGACCATGATGACGGTGGAAGAGAAGCCAGATGTAACATATAATGATGTTGGTGGATGCAAGGAGCAGATTGAAAAGATGCGAGAAGTGCGTGTAGCTTATTTAACTATCTTTCTTTCCACTGTTTGTTTGTTTTTTTATGTTTGACATGTATAAACATCTGTTATGTTTGGTTTTAGGATAAAAACTTAACAGTGTGCATATATACTTGATTATCTGTCTTAGGTTGTGGAGCTGCCAATGCTTCACCCCGAGAAGTTTGTGAAGCTTGGAATTGATCCTCCAAAGGGTGTCCTCTGTTATGGTCCTCCGGGAACCGGTAAAACACTTCTAGCTAGGGCTGTCGCTAATAGAACTGATGCTTGCTTCATTCGTGTTATTGGGAGTGAGCTTGTTCAGAAATATGTTGGTGAGGGTGCTAGGATGGTTCGTGAGCTCTTTCAGGTGAGAAGTAGTTGAATGTTTAGCCATATTGAATTAACTTGGAATTATTTTGAGTACTGTATTTATGTTACTTTATTTTATGACTAATTATGTAATATTTGGCAGATGGCACGCTCAAAAAAGGCCTGTATTGTATTTTTCGATGAAGTTGATGCCATAGGAGGAGCTCGCTTTGATGATGGTGTGGGTGGAGACAATGAGGTTCAGCGTACAATGCTTGAAATTGTGAATCAACTTGATGGGTTTGATGCTCGTGGAAACATCAAAGTTTTAATGGCAACAAACAGGTCTGTTTATGTATTTCATTTTGTACTTTTAAGTGATTTTCATTTGCGTTCGTTTTGACTTTTAATTAACACCTGTCTGTTTATAATATGGTTTTTATTGGACCTGTTTTTCAGGCCCGACACACTAGACCCAGCACTGTTACGTCCAGGACGATTGGATCGTAAGGTTGAGTTTGGCCTCCCTGATTTGGAGAGTAGAACTCAGATATTTAAGATCCATACACGAACAATGAATTGTGAAAGAGATATTAGGTTCGAACTACTGGCTCGGCTCTGCCCAAATTCAACTGGTAAGGATGCTTGACAAACAGATTGTCATTATTACATAGTTCTATCTATTCTTATTGTTAATTTCATATGATGAGACATTTTGGTTACCATAAATCTAATATCGAGGGGATGTGGTCATTTGCATCTTATTCATTCCTTTTGTATGTTCCATGTGCAATATATATGGTTCTCCTGTTTGTGATCGGACCTGCTACATGCCTCCTATCTTGACTTGGCTTAATGTATTATTGGACTTCAATTTTGTTTTGTGACATGATCGTCTCTTTCTCAGGGGCTGATATAAGAAGCGTTTGCACTGAAGCTGGAATGTACGCCATCCGTGCACGAAGGAAGACGGTAACAGAGAAGGATTTCCTTGATGCTGTGAACAAAGTGATTAAGGGGTACCAGAAGTTCAGTGCAACACCGAAGTATATGGTTTACAACTGAGCCTAGATGTTCTATTCTGTTTCGAGAGGCCACCAACTTCTTCATATCTGTTGTTTGAATTGTATTATTGTGTTTAAACTTAGTTGTTCAGTTTATAAATCAGTTTATGATGGTGGTTCTGAACTTGGATCTGCTCCAACGAAAAACCAATCCAATTGCTTTATATACTCGTTTTTCTTGCCATTCCAGTTTCTAGACAATTTCATCTTTTGCCCAAGTATTAGTGATGGGTGAAAGTTTACATTATTTTAGTTCAATGTGAAGCAGCTATCCTTTATTTTCATGAGTTGATTGGTACTAATATCAGCCATGAAAATCAATGACAGGAAACCTCACGGTTGAATCCTGAATGATCACCCTTGCGGCCTTGCTTGGGTTCAATCTCAGTATCTCATCTTATCTTGTGCTCATTCATCCGCCTTGGTTTTCTCATCTTATTTGTTCTTTTGTGCTGACGACCATAAATAAAATAAATGTTCTCATATAGACGGCTCTGGAGTTTAGGACAAGCTTATCATAAAATTCCAACAATGCCAACAACAAATCATCTTGAGTCCATCCCAACTTATAAAATTCCGTCTTCTATGCTCGTTTTGATGCTCTAAACTTCGAAATGCCAACATAACGAAAAAACTCAAGCTTGGGCAAGAGGGTCTTCTCAGCATTTGCTAAGACCAGTTTTGGGCTGTCAAGTTGAGAGAGCAAGGGGCTTGTATCTCAAGTAGTTCAAAGTACTTATCCCTACATCCGAAGTCCTAGGTTTGATTCCCCCTCCAAAGTTGAAAGATGTGGGTGTGACTGAGTCCATTCCATGGTGTTTGAGAGGATTAAGAACCGAGTTTTGTCCTCAAAACTGCACCTGTTATTAGTGAGAGTTTTGGGGACAACCATGAGTCTATAAGCTAGGAAGGAGCTGTAAAAGAGCGACCTTGACCTTGACCTAGCTATTGTGGTTTATCTTTTGGTTCAGCACCTACTATGATTTTGTTGAGGAATATGATACGACTGAAAATAGGTTTCTTTTGAAGAAATGCAAATGGGTCATTGAGCAACCAACAATTCTACAACTTGGAAGCAGTAATTGCAATCTTTTACAACAATTGAAGCTTCCAGGCATAACTGCAACGTACCAAAACAATACAATGCTCTAGTTCTAAATCAAAATCACATTTTATATGTTCTCAAATTTAGGGAGGATGGATAAGAATGATTCCTTCCTTCAAACCACTTGATTGGAAAGAAAAAATGAATTTAAGTATTGTTTATTTACTTCAATATCGTACAGATACAAGAGAAATCAGGTGCATCAAGATTCAAGAGGCCTATATGCTTCTGTT